TCTCGGCATTTCTTCTTTTCTCTTCTGGGTCTGTGTGTCTTTCCTGTGTCTCTCTTTTAGGTGTATGTCTCACTCCCTGTGTCTCTGTCGTACCTGGTTTCTCTGTTTCTACCCGGATCTCTCTGGCTTCAAATCCAACATTGTCTAACTGGGTGTCTCTCCTTATGTTCTTCTGTGTCTCCTTGGGTGTCTGTCTGTCTCTCTGAACATCCCCCCCCCCCAAAGGGGGGCTGACCCCTCACCTCTTCGCGGCAGCTCTCGGTGCTGCTACCTTCTTCCACTTCTTCCTCTTCCTCGGCCTGCCGCTCAGCTCCCTGGCAGCTTGGAAGCTCCGCTGAAACCTCGGGCTCCTTGTCCTCTTGGGGATCCTCGGGGTGCCCCTGAGGCTGCACGGCCCCTTGAGGCTGGACCTCGACGGCGCATTCCGGAACCTGCGGCGACGAGGAGCCCTCCTCTAGGGTCCTGGGTGTCCCCATGGCCGCTTCAGATTCCTGTGGGGTGGGTGTGGCCAGGGCTCCGGGGCGTGGTCTGATGTTTGTGGGCGTGGTCCAGAGCTCCGCGAGCGTGCCCAGGGGGCGGAACCCAAAGGTTCAGAGACTGGCTCTGAACATTCCGAGGGCGTGGATTTCCTGGGGACCCGCTCGAGATTGGGGTGAGGCTGTCGGCTCTGAAGGTGACACACACACCTAGAGGTGGGAAAAGAATTTGAGTTCGGGGTCCCAGCGCTCCCGGTGCTGGGGCGTCGCACACTAAGCCTTCCCTTTGTTCCGTGTGTCATCCCTGAAACCTTTCTGCAGCCCTCCCCAGTTTCCTGGATTGCCTCCAAGGGACCCCATCTCCTCACCCCCTCGGGACTAGCAGGGCCCTCCTTCCTGGAGCTCCACAGTTGGATCCCGACCCACCTGTAAGGCAGCCGCGGCCGAGGCTCCTCAACCCAGGATCCAGAACTCGGGGCTCGCAATGTCTACCTCTCCGGATGCGCCTGGGGCCCCAACGCCTCTGTTCCTTCCCTGGAGGAGGTCCCCGTAAGTCGCCAGCCTTCTCCCTGGCTCTGCTCTGAGCACTGCCGCTTCTGTGGCTAAACAGGTGGCTGGAAGGAGGGAGGAGAGAGAGGCCGCCCCGTCCCCCTCCCCAGCAGCCCGGAAGTGGAGGGGGGACAACAGGTCCGACAGCTCTCCTGGGAGGAGAGAGCCAGCAGCCTGCCCCGCCCGCAGCCCAGGCACCCAGCCATCCCGGCCCCTCCAGCCCCACCCAGCGAGAGCCCAGCGCCCAGACCTCCCACTCAGCTTCCCGTGCCCCCATTCCCGTGCCCCTGGAGGGCCGGGCTTTTTAGCTACCAGCATACAGCAGCCTCCCTAAGGCCGAGATCCAGGAAATCCTCAAAGGAAGATAGGAATGAAGATGGGGGCCTCTCCCCACTAATAAGCCCTTTGGAAGGGCCCTGACCGGTTTAGGGAGCTGGACAAGGGGAGGGGGTATCCCAGGTTGAGTCAGCGATCTGCCCAGAGACACAGTGTGCCCCACATGCACACAGTTTACTATGGGGTGGAGCGCAAAGGTTAAAGGTCACAGTCAGACCCTTTCCTCTCTGGACAGAAGCAGGAAAATATCTGGTATGCAAAACTCGACTGTTAGACGTCAGGACCTGTGCAAAACATTTGACACACCTCAGTGTCATTCCACACCACGGTCCATAGAAAAGAGATCAAGCGTCTCCATTTTACAGTTGTGAGAACTGAGACTGAAGGAAGCAAATCCGCCCAGGATCTACAACCATTCTAAATGACTTTTATTCATTATTATTTGTGTATGTGAAAGATAGTACAGGCACATAAGTACCACTCACCGTCACGGAGGCCGTAGGACGACTTTGGGAAGCTGTTGCCTTCCACCATGGGATTCAGGCATGGAACTCAGGTCGTCTTGTTGGGAAGAGCTTTATGCTCTCGGCCTTCTCAATAACCCACATCACCTGCGTTGTCTCTTGACATCGGTATTCATAACTATTTTGCAAGCCAGAAGGAACAATAGCAGCGACAGGGGCAGGGGAGTTGGTCGTGCGGACAGAGGGCAAGGGGTCAGACATCTGGGTTTATCAGTTGGTTGAAACATCCCGTTATTATTTCCACTATAGAGATCAGGAAGTTGAAGGGTGGACAGGGGCTCATTTGGCCAGGGACTCCCAGGGGAGGGGCTCGCACGGAATGATGTGCTGAGATGCAAGGCTGTGAGAATGTCGCCGTTACCTCTATGTGTGCACCTGCTATCTGCTTCCAGTCCCCCCCCTTAGACATTCATTCCTGCCCCCATGGCCCTGACTACTGCTGGTTCTGTCTCCTTCTCCCCTTTTATGTATGACTGTCTAGCCTAAATGTATGTCTGTGCATGCCTGATACCCACAGTGGCCAAATCCCCTGGAACTGGAATTACAGACAGTTGTGAGCTTCCATGTGCCTGTTGGGAACTGAACCCAGGTCCTCTACAAGAACAGCCAGTGCTCTTAACCACTGAGCCATCTCTCCAGGCCCCTCTTCCTTCCTTCCTTCCTTCCTTCCTTCCTTCCTTCCTTCCTTTCTTCCTTTCTTTTTTGTTTTTGTTTTTGTTTTTTTGTTTTGTTTTGTTTTTCGAGACAGGGTTTCTCTGTGTAGTTCTGGCTATCCTGGAGCTCACTCTAGACCAGGCTAGCCTCGAACTCTCGAACACAGAAATCCGCCTGCCTCTGCCTCCCAAGTGCTGGGATTAAAGGCGTGCACCACCACCGCCCGGCTCTTTCTTCTTTCTTTCTTTCTTTCTTTCTTTCTTTCTTTCTTTCTTTCTTTCTTTCCTTTTTCCTTCCTTTCTTTATCTCTTTCTTTCCTTCTATTTATTTATCTAGGGTCTTACACAGCCCCGGGTAACCTCCAACTCACAGTTATTCTCACGCAGTTGAGAATAACCTT